CAGCGTTGAAACTCACTTTAATTTAAATGGTCGCGTTTAAAAAAAAATTGTCACAGTTGAAGTGATGATAATCCACAAGCCACTGTTGAGACGTCGTTACATCCATTTGGTGTGCTCTATGGGCAGAGGAAATCATCGGTTCACACGAGGTGTGTTCAAAAAGTATCGCGAATTTTGAATTTTCGCGGGTTGTGTATAATCGAATTTCGATTTTTTTGTGGCCTTATGTTGGTACTCATGTCTGTCACTTATGCCGACCATTTTGAATGTTCACTTAATTGTCGACACCAGCTTTGCTTGCACGTGCTTTGGATGGTCTTCGATTTTTACCTATTCGAAAAAAAATTGATCGAAGAACCTGTAATAAATTTTGTGTGAAAAACGAAATTAAGTGCGCGGATGCATTCCGATTGTTGACTGTGGCATACGGAGAAGCTACCTTGGACCGAAGCAACGTTTATCGGTGGTACAAAATGTTCTCAGAAGGCCGAGAAGATGTGAACGACAAAGAGCGTGCCTGACGCCCGAGCACTTCAACAACAGAAAAAATTAATTGCAGGGGCGTGGTGCATCATGAGTTCTTGCCAAAGGGTCAATAAGGCATATTACCTGCAAGTTATGCGCAATTTGTGCGAAGCAATCTGCCAGAAACGCCCGGATTTGTGGAAGAACAAAAATTGGCTTTTGCACCACGATAACGCCCCTGCTCACACATCGTTGCTTGTGCGCGACTTATTGGCCAAAAACAACACACTAATGATGCCGCAGCCATCATATTCCCCAGATCTGGCCCCCTGTGACTATTTCTTGCTCCCGAAACTGAAGAGGCCCATGAAGGGACGACGTTACGCTACGATTGACGAGATAAAGACGGCATCGAAGGAGGAGCTGAACAAGATAAAAAAAATGATATTTTGAAGTGCTTCGAAGATTGTATAATATCTCATGGGGATTACTTTGAAGGGACAAAATAGATATTCATGAATAAATAAATAATTTTTGAAAAAACAAAAAATTCGCTATATTTTTTGAACGCACCTCGTGTTTCTTCAAAAATGTTATAGAGCCATGATTGAAGAAATTTTCGTGCTTGAACTAAGGGATGTTGATGTGGACGTTATTTGGTTTCAACAAGCCATACAGTCAACGAAAGAATCAATTTATTGAAGGAAACTTTTCGTGAGCATATTATTTTCCGTTGTGGGCCTCCCGTCGAGGCCATCACTTTCACTTGACTGAAATCATTTTTAAACCCAAATGGCAAGCCTTTATATTTGTGATAAAGCTAAATCCTTGCCCATAGCATTCAACTATATGCTTTTCATTTCTTATTGGCATGTGATTGCCTAAGAAAACACCCTTTACGTGTGAATTTATTTTGTTGAACCAGCTGTTGATGAGTGTGCACAGTGGTGTACAATTGAAATTTTTACTTGAGTTATGTGGCAAAAATAAAAAAAAACAATTTTCTTCATTAAAACTAAAAAAAAACACCCTTTACGTGTGAATTTATTTTGTTGAACCAGCTGTGGATGAGTGTGCACAGTGGTGTACAATTGAAATTTTTACTTGAGTTATGTGGCAAAAATTAAAAAAAAAACAATTTTCTTCATTAAAACTAAAAAAAAAAAACACCCTTTACGTGTGAATTTATTTTGTTGAACCAGCTGTGGATGAGTGTGCACAGTGGTGTACAATTGAAATTTTTACTTGAGCTATGTGGAAAAAATTAAAAAAAAACAATTTTCTTCATTAAAACAAAAAAAACCGAGAGTAAATATAATAATTACAATAACGAATAAGACGATTTTAATGCGTTCATTAGCGCAGTAGCGACCAAGTTGCGTAGTTCGCAAAATTTTTTTCATTATTTATTATTGTGCCATATGCTTGCATGTGGCTACTTATGACTGTACATATGTCTGTATGTATGTAAGTAAGTTTGATTAACAATTGAAACTGAAATAATGAAGTGGTTGCGAATGTTTCAACCAATTGCGGTAACAAATGCAATCAACTTTTTTCTTCATTTTTTTTCACTTTTATTTAATTTGATTTGATTTTTATTTATTTATTTTTTCTGCTATTTTTATTATTATTTCTGCTTAGTTTTTGTTTTAGCAACCATCAAAGTCAGCAAACCAACTATCATTTATAGAAGTACATATTGTATACCAATACATTCATATGTACATAAATGTCTGCTCTTTAGCTATTTTGGCCAAAGCGTGTTGCCATGATGACGAAACGACAATCCACAACAACAGAAGTTGCCAACTAAGTATGATATGAGACGAGACGTAACCAAGTTTGAATGGTTGAATGGTTCAATTTCTGCGTGGCGCTATATACTCGTATGCATAAACATACATACATACATACTTGCATGTTTAATTGCCTTGTAGTGCACATTTGTAAGTAGTAGGTGTATATCCATAGGCATAAAACTATTTACAAGTGCTTAGACGCACAACTCTATATACTTATAGGTATACATATATACATGCTCGTAAGTACATATGTGCATGCTTAAAAGTTGGCAAGTTCGTAGGATACACTTTGCTCTTTTACACTTAGCCCGATTTATTCTATTTGTTATAGAATAACAAAAAGGTTTTGCAGACACACATACATACATATAGACATAACATAAACCATGGCGCATTGAAGTGGCTGTGTGCGCCTTTTGTATTTAGAGTAGCAAAGGTTGGGTACAGTGCGTCATTGGTGGCGAAAATCTAACATGGAGGTTTATATAAATGTATATATATATGTACATAGATATTAAATAGCTCCAACTTCTTGCTTTCATAAAAATAAATTTACTGGTTCCACTATAGACTAAATTATCTACGTCTTCAAAGCTCGTATCCATCCGGACCCATGACCTAGCCAGCGTAGCCGCTGGTTTTTGATTCCCTGAACTATATCAATGTCGCCGTATAACTCGTACGATGAGCTCATCGTTCCATCCTCTGCGATATTCGTTGCGTTGTCAATGCGCAAAGAACCATAAATTATACGCAAAACCTTTCTCTCGAAAACTGCTAGCGTCGACTCATCAGATGTTGTCATCGTCCATGCTTCCGCACCATAAAGTAGGACGTCAACGATGAGTGACTTGAAGAGTTTGGTTTTTGTTCGTCGTTGTACTTTTCAATTGCCTAATCAGTCCGAAGTAGCCTGGAGAAAGCAGAACTAACGGCGCGGTTGTGGAGGCCGATAATGTAAATATCATCGGCGTATGCCAGAAATTGTATACTCTTATAGAAGATTGTACCTTCTCTATTCAGCTCTGCAGCTCTTATTATTATCTCTAATATCAAATTGAAGAAATCACACTACAAAGAGTCACCCTGTCTGAAACCTCGTTCGGTATAGAACGGCTCGGAGAGGTCCTTCCCAATTCTGACCGTGCTTCTGGTGTTGTCTAGCCTCAGCTTACGCAGCCGTATAAGTTTTGCGGGGATACCAAATTTGAGACATAGCGGCATATAGACAGCTCCTTTTCGTGCTGTCGAAGGCAGCTTTAAAATCGACGAAAAGGTGATGAGTGTCGATCCTCTTTTCACGGGTCTTTTCCGAGATTTGTTGCATGGTGAATATCTGGTCAATGGTTGACTAGCCAGGTCTGAAGCCACACCGATAAGCTCAACAGTTTGTTGACAGTGGTCTTCAGTCTTTCACACAATACGCTTGACAGGACCTTATAGGCGATACTAAGAAGGCTTATCCTACGGTAATTGGCGCAGACTGTGGGGTTCCCTTTTTTTGGATTGGGCAGAGCATACTTAAATTCTAATCGTCGGGCATGCTTTCGTCCGACCGTATTCTGCAAAGTAGCTGATGCATGCACCTTTTCAGCTCTTCACCGCCATCTTTGAATAGTTCTGCCGGTAGGCCTTAAGCAGGCGATTGCTATTCGAACTTCTTCGTGGTCAGATAATGGAACACCTTTCACCTTGTCTGAAACCTAGTTTGATACCGAAGGCCTAGAAAGTGTCTGCACATATCAATCTCGCCCACATTTATTACCCACGGTGCGGTGGTGATCCGGCGAACTTGAGTCGATACATATATATGTATGTACATATGTAATAATAAAAAAAGCGTCAAAGTTCTGACTTAAAACACGCTAAAAACAAAAACAACACAAATTTACTTATTACAGTCGTCAAAGTTGATGTAAATATTTACATACAGACATACTTATGTATATACATTTAAATATATACATCGTCAAAGTTGATGTAAATATTTACATACAGACATACATATGTATATACATTTAAATATATACTTCTGATACATTCTTCTAATACATACTTCTTCCAACATTTGTATATTTATGGTAATTTGTTTTTGTAAGTCGACCATACTCCCCCCGACTCATACCACATTTAATTTGACGTGATTTCTTCTTCTTCAAAGGAACTCACCAAAAAGGTGGGAAGGCAATCGTTAAGGTTAAAGTGCAATGGTAAAGCAATCCTCAGCTAGCCAAAGGGCGTTAAAGTTATTATTCCGTTGGTATGGCGAACTGACGGAAAACTAATGAAAGGCTTGTATGCGCGGAAAATCAATAGCGGGACAGAGTGGTTTGCTCAGAGCGGCGTTTGTTCGTGTACATACACACAACAACGATGGCATTTTTGCAAAAATTCTCAGAAATTCTTAGAAATTCGTAATACGCTAATGGACTTTTGCAAAAATTTTCCCAAAGCACTCCATAGCTCAGATTGCAATTGAGGTGAGAAAATACAATTTATCTATACCATATCAAAAAATCTATACCATATGTTTGTACGTGTATGTATTGAAATGGTGCGTATAATGAATAAAGAGGAAATAAATTATTTATTTATTTATTGTCTTTCAGCAGTATTCTAAAAATTGATTAGGAAATTTCATTACTGATTCTTAACTTATCGCTTCTTTTTGCGCGGCTCTCTACTTTTTTGTATTTTCATATGTATAAAGTGCACAAATGTCGTACTCACCTTCTTCTCCTCAATCATCGGATTGCTTGATTGCTCACCGAAGACCGTTGCCTCAAGTTGATAGTTGACAATTAATGCCTTATCCGTTGGATGTGGTTCAATTGTGCCGCCTTTCCAACGTCTGCGCGATAATAATCGATTAAAAAAAGTATTACTTGTTATTATTTTGTTTATTTGTTTTGTTTTTTAATTATTGTTATTAAAAAATATTATCTTTATATTAGTACAAAGTTTATATTGGTAAAACAAACAAAAAAAAAATATATGTTTTAACAAAAATTACAAATAAATTAGAAGTATCAAATTGCTGATTGCGTAAAATTTGCTTAATTAATCATAAATCGTTATCAGGTTTATTAGCATCGTTATATATGTACTAAAATGAGGATTTTAGACATTTGCTTGAAAATATGCTTTTTTTGGAAAGTATTGTTTGCGTTATATTTCAGATTATTCGTGCACTTTCATTTTTGTTTTAATTGTAAATTTCTTGTTTTTGTATTTTGACATGATGATTTTTACTTTTATTCCTTCACATAATTTCTTTTTTGCCTTCTTAGCGGGAAATTTTTATTTCCTTATTTCTTTATTTTTATTTTCAACTATATACATACGAGTAAATTATATTTTTTGTAATTATTCTTTTTATTTTTACAACAAGTTTTTATATTTTTAACTTTGAAAATTATTTTTTGTTAAATCTAATTTTTGAATTTCATTTTTTAAATTTTTATTTTTCCTTTTAGCATTATATTTATTTATTTTAATTTTTCAACTTTACTTTTTTACTTTTTAACAGTGTATTTTTTCATTTCTTTTCATCCCTATTTTTTGTTTTTATTTTTTCATTATTCAACAGTATATTTTTCACTTTCATTTTTAGCACTAAGTTTTTTATGTTTTTACTTTATTTTCTATTATTATTTAATTATTATTATATCCTTTATTATTATTTTTTACATTATTTTTTTAGCACTACAAATTCTTTTTTTGGTACATTTATACACCACGTACATACATATATTATAATTTGGTAATTCATTGCTTGTGCCAGAAAATGGTTTTGCTATATATTTTTATATTTACTTGTACATATTTCTAAACATACACTTATTAATGTATGGTTCTTATATAATTTTGTTAAATTTTGCAAACTCGAAAAATCTATCTTCGTTTCGAAAATATTATTTTTAAAATTCCTTTAGCATTTTGACATTAAGGTTGCACCCCTTTGTTGTATTAAAAATTTTTTGGAAGATTGTTTTTTTTTTTTGATTTTTTTATTGTAAATATTTATTTAACCTGTTGTCAAAAATATGTAGTTAAGTATTTAATAAAAAGGATTGAATTTTCTTTTTATTTTCAACGTAATAGTGTCTTCAAAAAAAATTTATAATTTTTATTTGTATTTAATTCAGAAAATCATATTCTAAAATGTTAACGAATTAAATTTATAGTAATGAGCTGAGGACCTGACCGCAACCGGCCGCACCTAGTCCTCCGCTGTGTCTATTCACAAATCGTTGGTCGCTCCATTTTTCCCAAAACTAAAACAATTGCTTTGGGCTGGGAAAATCGTGACGTCTCAATCGGCTGAAGGCCGGACACTCGCAAAGGTAGGGCATACCGTTATTATCTGGACATGTTCTGCACTCGGTCGATTCTCCTGTACTTATCTTATGATAAGCCCTACATTGGAAGAGTTCCAATAGCTTAACGGCTGTTCTGTCCTCCGCTGTTGTAAACGACATTTGACGGCCAACTAACTCGTCCATCTCTTCATGGCCTTCTACCTTCGTGAGGACCGCGCCTTTACATATTCTAACGCATTTGGACTTTGTGTTGACTCATCTAATCGCCTTGATTGCAGCTTGATTGCCTACTAGGTGGCTAGCTGTTAGTGTTGCTTTATTCATTATGTTTTGATAATTGAACTAATGACAAGGGTTATTTCTAAGTTCCTTGTTGAGAAAGTCCTGTGGTTGTTATTGTTGTTGCAGCCGCAAAAATAGACACCAAGTAGTTTTTAGGGAGCTTTGCGGGAGTGACAGTCCTTGACCGTATAAAGAAATGTCTGTCGCGGGAACTTTTTGATTTAAGTCACCTCTTACGACAGGTATGCCTTATCGCGTGAAAATTATTGAACCCCTACCCTGAAGAGGATTTTAGGTAATCCTCATTGCGACCAAGAAGAGTGGTAGTTTAACTATAAATATTTATATAAAATATTTATCGTGGCCGCGATGGTCGAGTGGTTAGCATTGTGAACTGCCATTCCGTAGATAAACAATTAAGTTAATATTTCGACTCTCGGGAATGTCTTGCCCTACGAGTGTCTCAAAAAAACCCTGTTCAGACGTTCGGAGCCGGCTTAGTATAAACTGTAGGCGCTACAAATCGGAGGAAGAGCTGGGCCGAAAACAATTTATATTTATTTCAAAAGCATATATTTTATTGTACACAGTTTATGGTGAATTTGCGAATAAAATATGTACATTAATTCTTCAAAATTTTTTGGAAGAAAAAAAAGAATTACCCATTCCATCATTTACCCTGTATATGTTTGGACCATCTTAATAAAAGTATGCATATTCACATCACATATTTACATACGTGTATGTATCAAGCGTTTATAAATGATTTATGATTCGTCGCAAATATTTTTTGCTATGTATTATATTAATATTATTTTATATGTATTTTTTGTTTGTTTATGATTAGTGCAAAAAAATTCCAAGCGTTTCATTTTTATTTAATTTAATTTTTTTATATTGCGATTAGTGCAAACACTTTTTAAATATTTTTTTTATTTCTTTTTTTTTGTTTCTTTTTTTTTTTTTGCTTCTCAATAGATGTCTCATTCAAACTGTCATTCTTTATGAATATGTGTGGCGAAAATTTCTTATTCTTAATTTAAATTTTAATTTATTTTCCACATTCTAGCTGTATGTTCTGGCAAAAGTTTTCTTCTCTCATTTCAAAATAATTTGGCAAATTTTTTTTATTTATTTAACGAAAAATCAAATATTATTTTATTTACATCGGTAAGAGGAAAAACCCTTATTTCAAACGACCACCGTGCCACCATACATACATACATATTCCTGTATACATACATATGTATGTATATTTAGTTGTAGACAGTGAGTAAGGAAAACTACGTCAGCTTATTCGTGCTTTCAGTGAGAGGTTCGTGCGGGTGCGGGGAGGCACATCGTAGTCGCATAATCGTAAGTATGTGTACAAGATTTTCGCGTGTCGGTTGGTGCGCAGTCGGAAAATGCGGTGGAAATGGAAAATCGATAATGCTGACAAACACATATTTCAGCCGCAATCAGCGCTGGGAAAAAAGGTACTCCAATACAACTTTTTTCATGGAATATATTTCTTTTTTTTTTACAGTTAGTCATACTTTTACTTTTTTCACACTACAAACATTCACAAATTAAAAAAGAAATATAAATATAAGAAAAAAAAAGAGTTCAATTGAAATCATAAATTTATGTATTTATGTGTTATTAAGTGGTGGGCTGAGCGCTTAAACGCCGTCAACGCTTGTATTTGGGGCGTGTTGAGCGGGGTATTGTTTAACCAGCGAGTACGGGTATGCACAATTGGACAGCTCATCTTTCACTGCGTTTAGTTACATTCTTTGCTACACAACATATTTTATTTAATTTTTTATTTGTTTCAATTTTTTTTTTGCTTTTTTAAATTTTTCTTTTCGCTAATTGTTGTTACGACTATTATTATTACATTTGGTTTAAGCATTTTGCATTTTTCTTTTTTTTCTTCTTTGTTTTATAAACTCACTTTTTTATAAATTTTGCATCGTCGCTTGTTTGCATTTTTTCGCCAGTTGCTGTTGCTGTTGTTGTTGCTGTGAAGCAATGCGATTTTCTATTATATTTTCTAGACGGCGACGCTATCGGGATGCGTTGCTGTCGATATTTTTGCTTATTAACAATTGGTTTTTCTATTTGTTGTTGCACGTTTTGTTGCAACTGCAATATTTGTAATTGCTGTTGCTGCAATTGTTGTTGTAATTGTAAATCGCCGGCAATTGCATTAATTATATAATAAATATAATGAATAACAAATAGAATGAGTGTTAGGCCCGCGACTATTTGAAAGAGCAGCAGCACAAATGGCATACGCGACGCAACGACGCAGACGACCGTGTATGTGTGTGTGTGCCGATGCCTAACTATGTCCGATGCCTTATGCCGATTTGTTGTCGTCGTTAATGCCAAATACCGACCGACTACGTCCAAACGCTTGCTCCTCTCAATTCGTTCTGACTACTGCTGTCAGCTAGCTAACTGACGAACTGCTACGGAGCACCACTGCCTGCTGCCTCTGTCTCTACGGAGCTGGGCTGCCAGTGGTTCACCAAAAACTACATAACGGGCGGTTGGTATGGTTGCGATAATATTGTTGCTATTATAGCTGGCTGATGTTGATGGTGTTTCGGTGGTGGTGAAGATGATAATGATGTTGGTGGTTGTGTGGTACTCGAACGCACAGTGTAACAAAATGTGAAAATTTTTTATTTAAAAAAATCCTATACTAGACCATGTGCTGATAAGTAGTACAACTCTCAAGACAGGGTTCTACGTATCGGAGTTGACCTGAATTTTATCTGGCCAAGGGCTGTCACCTTACAACAACAATAACAACAACATTATAATTATTAATGTTCACATGGTTTCTAAGTATTTTTTTTTTAACATAAGTGGGTGTTGCCATGTACAGCTTAAGGGCTCATTTTCTCAAATTTTTTTTAAAAGTTACTAAATAAAGTATACAATTATTTTGTTTATATATAAAAGTACAATATGTGGACAACATTTGATGAAAATTTCAATGAAAAATAGTACAAGTTAAGGCGTTGGCAGTGTCGTGAAGTAGACCGTACACAAGAAAGTGCTTTCGCGGTAGTCATGATAAGCTTTTCAATACTTATCTGAAATCAAAAATCCAAATTTTTTCTTAAAGAATGTGAATTTTCTTTGTCCCTGAACGAAGAAAAATTAAAAAAAAATTAAAAATTGAATTTTTTGTGGCGTTTTTTACAAAAAAACGTAATTTTTTGCATAAAATTGGGCCACATATTGGCTTGCAAAATGAGTTGAAATCAAAAATAAACTAAATTATTCGTTCAGGGACTACAAAAATATGCTTGAAAGAAGTGTGGAAAATTTCCATTCTATCGCTTCAATAGTCGTTGAGGAATTTTGACTACCGAGTCATGACAAAGATGGTGGGTTTTAAAACTCTCTAATTTCTACAGTTTCGTCTCGATCGCCTTGAAACTTGGGGAAAATATTCCTGACACTTTGTAATTTTATACAAAAAATTATAAAAAAAAATAAATTTTTGGAAGTTTCAAAACCTATTAAAACCCCTTATGTTTGATTCCACCACTCAATATTTTTATTTAATGCGTTCATGCTTGGCAAAATGACTTTAATTGGACATTTGGTTACTGGGGCCGCAATAGCAGAGCTGCGTTCGAGTCTTGGTTCGACCAATATCTATAATTTTAGAAAAAATTTCTAATTGGTGTCTCTCATCGGCAGAGAATCTGAATACCATCGAGAGTGGCAGTGAGTGCGTCGGGTCTATCGGCATTAGTAATTTTCGCGGGATAAGTTTTCCGAGAGATTCATTTACCTACGTATAAGTGACAATCCAGCTTTGAAAGTATTATTCCGTTACTGTACCCGCTGGTCTTCACAGAGAAAAAAGAAGAATTAGGTGTGGAGGGATTTAACTGCCTCCAATTGGTGCTGCACTGCGAAAACCAGTAACGACCAAGCGTGCCCAAATTTTAAACAATTTCTTTCATATGGTCACACTGTGCCCTGGTGTGCGCTCAACGTCACAATTATGGGTATCTGCCCGCTCGCTTATGAGTAGCTGTACATATTTATGTATATAGATTTTCTTTTGTTATTGCCTTTGCTGTTTTGCTTTTGTTTTGCTATTCCATCGTTGTTGTTGTTGGTAATTGCCTGTTCGTATGTGCTCAGGGGGCGGAGATGGTGGTCTGGCGTATGTTCGGGGTGTGCTTTGGTACGCGCAATCGCATTCGTTATGCTTTGCTGATTTCTCCATTATTCTCGTGTACTGTTTTTGTATGATTTCTGTTTTGACACTGACATTTATCAGGTTTGATTTGTTAGCGTGTGTTCGGCGCTATCATTGTTTTGACATTTACAAGCAGCGTTTACAGGGAACGCAGAGAACGTAAATACAAAAAAAAAATTGAATTACTTGTTACCAGCATGAAATATTTGTTGAGGAGAAATTTTAAAAATGAACAAAAGTGTGCTTTAAACAAAAAAATTTATTTTCGCATTTACATAAATATTTCAAATTGGGAGAAATACATACACCAGATTATATTAGTGTTCAAGATTTTGTTCGAACACTTTCGAACAACTCCAGCTCTTGAGCAACAAGTACTCGAACCAAATTTTCGAGCACGAACTCGATCAATTTAAGCTTTCTCCAGCATGTTAAAAAAAAGTCTGGCTTTTTTCCCCTGACTAGGTTATGTATGTTGTGGTCCGATCTGTCGCAACGATTACCTAGGGCCCCCCAAACATTTCGAGTCTCAAGTTCATTCGCCTTACAGTTGCCATCGTTGAACCTGGAATGCAATTGCACCTTACCGATCCATGTAGCTTGGTATAAAATCGTATTCATCAAATATTTTCCAGGGTCAAAATAACGGAGTGATACCCTCGTCTACTTTAAACACCTCCCGCTTGTTGACCGGACTAAGTAGTTTATAGATTCACCCTATGTTAAAAGACAGGTATCAGTGTCTTACTAAGTTTTTTTTTTATTGAAATCCTCTCATAGGAAACTGTTTTCAATTATTACCTTTTATCAAACACATATTTTAAACAAGCTAAGTATAAACTCTACAATTCCACATTTCCATTGGTCTGCTCTAGCACAAATTCATCGTACAGTCCCACTGCCCATTGCGCAATTTTCTTGAAAACATCCGCATCCAATAACTCAATGACTTCCACATTTTTCGGAAATTTGTCCACTTCTTGTAAATGATCCAAAATCATTTGCCCACGCGTGTGTCCTGTCAGATCCACTGTAGCATGCCAACTACTCTTCTTTTTCACTAGAGCGCTTTCGAAGAGGAATGCAGCAACAATCAATGCATCGCAAGGGATCCAGCTCTTAAAATTCGATGGCAACCATTGAGCACGTTCCACTTTATTCATTATATCTATGGCTGCGCACATGTTGGCCGCAGAGATCCCAAAATCATCAAGGCGCCAATTCTGGAAAGAAGAAGAGAGCACTGTACCAATAGTGTTTGATAAAATTAGCTAAAAAAATTAACTGACTTACAATACATATGAAAAATCGATCTTCCAAACAGGGTTCCCATGGCAATATAGTGATGGGGCATTTCGATCGAGCAAGCACGGCATGCGCTGCCTCGGGATCTGAATAAAAGTTGAACTCAGCGCAGCGTGTGCAGTTGCCGACGCCTATGGAGAAGCAGTAAATTGAAAAATTTTCTTAAAAAGTGTATCAGTTTTATAAAAATTATGATGAATATTTATAATCATATTTTATTATATTTTTTATAATACTTTTATCATGATATTTTAACGCTTATTTACTTATTTACTTCTTTTTACCTTGATGATTTCCACCCATTAGGTAAATATGCTTGACTGCATTTGCAAATGTTTCGCCAAACATGGAGTAACAAAGCGCAATGTTCGTTAAAGGGCCCACGCTTATTATGGTTACCTTTTTGGAGTGCTAAGAGAAATATAAATAGGAAAAATATAAATAAATACAGTCATATTTAATCCAATTTATTCATAATTTATTATTTTCCTTTTTTTTGTTATTACCACAAAAAATAAAAATTTTACCTCGGCACAGAATCTGTTTATAGCCACCACAGCGTGTTCCTTTTGCACCACCTCATCCATACTGTAGTCTGTTTCTAGGGGCAATATTTACTATCATCGACGGGAACGATGGGTGGTATAACTGATTGGGAAGCGCCATAAAAAATTGGTATCTATAGTGAAAGAGTAGTGAAGGTGGAAATTAACTGCGAATTTATATATTTTTTTTTATAAAATTCCAGGAGGACAATTTCAACTCAAATAAAATGAAACAATATAAACTAATTAAATGAATAATTGAGGAAAGTCAAGTTAAAAAAATAATAAAACAAAACGAAAAAAACTAAACTAAATGAAAAAGATTTAAGTTAAAAATAAACTAATAAAATAAAATAAATTAAAGCGATATAAGAAAATTGGACATACATTAGATACAGCACCATAGAAAAAATTAAAATAAAATAAATCGGAAAAGTAGAAATAAATAAAAAAAAATTAAGAACAAAGTACAATAAATTATAAATAAATAAAATATAACAAAGTTATTTATAAAATAATAAACAAGATAAGATAAATAAAATACAAAAAAATAGCAAGTAAAACAACATAAAACAAAATATAAAATCAAAATAAAATCAAATATTAAAAGATAAAATTAAATAAATTAAGATTAGTTAAAAAAAGAATATAACATAAAATAAACATAAATTAAATCAACAAAAATAATTATATAAAGTAGAAACTTAGATGAAATGGAACAAATAAAACTACAGTATTTTACATTTATATAAAAAGCATAGTACTAATTGAAACATAATGTGAAATAAATACAAATAAAATGAAGGGAAAAAAAAGAAAAGAAAATAAAATATATTTTAATGAAGTTTTCGGACAAAAAAAAATTAAAAAGGATGAAATAAAATATAACAAAACAAAATAAAAAAGTAAATAAATTTAACAAAAATAAAACTAAATTAAATTAAATAAAGCAAAGCACAAATCAAAAAATATGATAAAATGAAATACAATAAAATTAAATCAAATTAAGTTAAAAGTAAAAAAATAAAATAAATAATATCAGGTGTACACTTTGCTTCCACCGTTTTCCGATAGGTGGCTGTACCGGCTGAGGCTGATTGAAATACATAGATGATAATGCTTTTAAAGTGAGTGTGGACAGTGCCTAGCGAATTGTCATCGCCGTTTCAGTGACAGTTGTTCTTGTTTTCGTATTATTCACGCTCAAAAATGTCGCCATTTGCGGGAAGTTTTACTTTTCTGTTACAATTCGAAAAAAAAAGCAGCTGAAGCGCATCGAATGCTCTCAGAAACTTACGGTGATGCTGCTCTGAGTGAAAGAACGTGTCGGGAGTGGTTTCAACGTTTTAAAAATGGTGATTTCGATGTCGAAGACAAACATGGTGGTGGAAGAGAAAAAACCTTCAAAGATGAACAACTAGAAGCATTGCTTGATGAAGATTCGTGCCAAACCCAAGAACAGCTTGCCGAATCGTTGGGAGTGAGTCAGCAAGCCATTTCAAAACGTCTCAAGGCCCTGGGCATGATTCAGAAAGAAGGAAACTGGGTGCCGTACGAGTTGAAACCGAGGGACATCGAGCAAAAGTGGTCAAAAAGTACCTGGAAACGCTGAAATGGGAAGTCTTGCCCCACCCGCCGTATTCCCCAGATGTCGCCCCTTCTGACTTCCACCTATTCCGTTCGATGGCACACGGCCTGGCAGATCAACATTTTCAATCCTTCGAAGAATTGGAAAAATGGATTGCTTCATGGATAGCGTCAAAAGAGGACTCCTTTTTTCGAGCCGGGATCCGAAAATTGCCGGAAAGATGGAAGAAAGTTGTCGCTAGCGAAGGACAATACTTTGAATAATATATCTGTAAACAATTGTTCGCAATAAAGCATTTAATTTTGGAAAAAAATCGGCGGAAGCAAAGTTGTACACCGATATGTAATGAATAAAATAAAATGAAATAACAGAATAGAAAAAATGAAATAATATAAAGTAAAAAAGACTAAATTAAAATAAAGTAAGAGAATATAAAATTGAATAATGAAATATATAATGTATTATAAATTGAAATAAGAACACTAAGATAAAGCAAGAAAAATAAAAGTGAAAAAAATCAATAAAATAATGCAAATTAAAAAATTGTAATATAAAATAAAATCTAGGAAAATTACAAAAAAAAAAAATAAAATAAAAAGTAAGGTAAAGCAAATAAAGAAATAATTAAATATATAAAAAAAAAGAAAATTAAAAATAAAAAAATATTACACAAGAGAAAATAAAATTAAATAAATATATTACATAAAATTAAAATAAAGGAAAGTAAAGAAAATAAAATTGAAATACATAAAATAAAATATTAAATTTATTACAAAAAGAAACAAAATAAATAAGAGTAAATAAAGCAAAATAAAATACAATAGAATAAGTTTTATCAAATTAAATTTAACAAACAAACAAACCATAATAAAATAATATAAATCAAGATAATGAAAAGTGAATAAAATAAAATTAAAAAAAAAATTATTAATCACTTTTAAATAAACTAAATTAATTTAAAATGTATGAATTTTTTCTATTAAATTTTTTTATCCATTAGGCACTTTTTTTTAGTTGTGAGTTGTGAGAGAATTAAATATAAACACGATATATATACATACATACATATATATATTTACTACATATAATTACCTCTGTGCGTTCACAGGCCCTTAGAATGCGATACATATTTCGCGCTGCATTAAGCAAATCCGTATTGCCACAGCCGCATATAGTAACCCCGAGTAAAGTGATACGTTGATCGGCAGCTGCTTTGAGCAACAACAGCAATGCCCAGGCATCATCACTGCCACCATCACAATCCAAAATAACAAAACGCTCTTTGGCCGACATTACAGATTTTTGATAAATTATTATGAATGTTTTATTGTTTTTTTTTAACCAATATTTCTTTGAATGGGACAATTTTCTTCAAAATTTAATTTTTTTTACTTAAAACGCTTATCATTCACTAATTCGCTGTGTTATACAAAAATACGTTGCCTGCATTAGAATCACTGTAATCACAATCATTTGCATATAATAGCTTTGTATGTTTGTATGTATTTTGTGACACAATTTATTTATTTTAATAGTTGCAGCCAATTGAAAGTGATTCGTTTATTATATTTATTGTATGTACATATGTATGTATCTTCAAATTCATATAAATAATTTTGCATATATACAGATTATGACATTTTCTTTGTTATATGCACGCGTGTGTACACGCTGTGCGTTAATAAATTTGCGCATCTTCCGATATTTCACCAACTGCTCACTAGCCACTCTTCCAGCGTACTGAGTTCCAATAATGAAACGGAGAATTCTTAGGCAGAGCGAGCGAATTTGGTTTATATTAAGCACTTATTAGTAGTAAATTCATGTATGTTTGTATATTCAGTTTAGTTTAGCTTAGTTTATCGGCCAGCTACAAAAGATTAATATACATACATACGTACATACAGGCATGTGTGTGTTGGCATGAAATTTTATGATTGTACAATAAAATTTAACATTCAGACTTTGTTTATCTCTATATATGCAAATAAATATCTGTATATATATATATATATATATATATATATTTATATTTATATTTATTTGCATGCGTATTTATGCTTGTGTATTTGTACATGCATTTGCGCACCCACGTGCGGATACGAAACGGTCTCAACGCACCTGAATGCAAATACTCAGTGAGATATATTTCCTTATAAATATATATGTATGTATGTATCTACGAGTGCAAATGTAAGTATGTAAAAAAAGCCGGCAAAGTAATTCATATATTTGTTTGCATTCTCTCTTTATTGTAATTCTTGCACATTTTCGCTTCAGTGTTTCTTTCTCTTTGATTGTTCTCTTACTGTGCTCTTACATTTGTAGCGCAATAAAGAGTGTTAAATGCGACTATTTGCTTTACAAAAGAGGAAGAAATACTTATTTGGCTTATTTAGTTGTTATTAGGTATATATTGGATCTTGGTCTGCTGCGGCCACTTATGGGTTCTTATCGAGGGAAGGGAACAGTTTTTTTTTTCTTAGGAAACTTATGTTGGGTTTGAGTATGGATGCGATCGTCTTAATCCCATCGCTGTGAGGCTTTAACCCACTTAAACCACCTCACCGTGTCTGGTAACTGCTGCTACTATCGCCGTTCGCGACCGTTTAACTATTGAGATCTATAATTTGAATCAACTTCTTCCATCGCAATCTATTTCAACCGTCAGGTTTCAGCTTTCTGTTACTACGTACCGAATTGTTTGGTTGAAAGAGCGAGGTTGGAGACCTGCATGTTTATGGAGGTGGTGTCTCAGTAGATACCCGTTAATACACCCGCAAGAATGTTAAGTTTTCTTTAGCTTTATGGAAGTACCATCCTACGAAGCGAGAGTTCCAAGACTTTCGGTGTTCCTCTATGGTCGACTGTTTTAAATAACATTTGACGGCGTTTTGGAGTTTTGGACAATACTGCTTCATTTTTCCCGTTTTGGTCCCGCTAGCCCAATTTGTTTAAGCGATGAATTGCCCGATGGCCTGTAGACCGAGCTATTCACATATGGCCTCGAGGAAATTATAAGGTGCATGCATCAGATTTTTTTTTCAAAATATGGTCGAGTCCCTGAAGGAAGCGAGCAAAATCTTTTGGAAACTAAACAAACGTATCGAACTCGAGTTTTCTGTCGGCAGCACAAAGGTCCCCATATTCGAGTTGCAGACCACATCTTATCGTCTACGCGCAGCCATTTACGGCCTGCATATTTTTTAGAAGTGATCAAGCCTCGATTTTATTTCGCTTCGCTGGATGTTGTGGCCTCATAAAATGGACTCAAGCGTATTTTTCAAATAAATTTGACTGTAAAGCAGTTTCACCATAATTTCTGAATGCGTTTTATTTCCGACAGGGAAACCAAAATTACCACACAATATACGCATTTTTGTATGTATGTGTATTTGAAAATCATTGTGTTAAATAATGGAAAATAACACAAACTTTATACACGATCATATGTACATATATAATATGTGTATGGATACAAAGTTGGTGAATAGTTTAGAGAGACAAAATTTTTAAGTACTCGTAATTTATTTTTCTATTTACAAGAATAATGTATTGTAATGTATAGATTGCGCCTTCAGACTTTGTTGTTGTTTGTGGGTACGTCATACGTGTAATTGCGATATTGTTTTGGCGATATGTCAATTCACATGCATTTCTAAAGAGAAATATTTATGTTCTTCCATATACATACATACATATTTTGAGTGGGCACAAAATTTTGTCACTAGTTCAGTCACGCACCCATTATTACTTCAATTGGCAGAGTTACTCCACCATCGCTCAAGTGAGTAGTTCATAAAAATGATGGATGAGTACCAAACGCACTTCATTTTCACCTAATAGTTTTATTATAAATATTTTCCGTCGGAAGAGTCTACTTTTCCCCACCATTTTCGAATTTCATCTTTAAAAAATGAGGCCTTTCTGTAATCACAATTTTCGAGTCACACTTCGATTTCTTCAGCCGAAAAAGCCAGTAGTCGGCTGAAGCAAAAACTAGAGATTACTGCATTTCAGTGTTTCCAGGTAGTTCTTTTACCGCTACAGCCAAGTGGGGTCGTTTCCATGTGTCAAAATTAACTCTTCATACTTTTAGGTCATTTTTGAACCTTTTTTAGTAATGCATCAATGGTTTTGCCAGATTGGTATAGGTCTTGACGTTAAGTCACCACTTTCTGCATCGTTTTCGACATTCCCCATAAATTTCCATAAACGTGGGATGGGCTTCAGCTGAACCTTTCCTACAATTGAAATAGAAAATCAAATCGAAGACATGACGCAGACCAACAGATGATTGTCACACTTAACAACAATTAACAAGCGGGCTCCTGAAGGCGCGATCTCAGAGCTTCGTCATTCTTGCTCCATTTATACACATGTGTGTAGTGTACTTGAGATCTCCGCCGGCTTTTATTCTCTGTAATAAAGAGATATTCATACCAATGTTTTTAAGTTTGAGTAGATATTGCCGCCAACAGTTCGTATTTGGCCTTTAAGGGAGTAGTCTCGCCAGTAAAGCGATCTGTATATATGTAAGTATGTATGTACATTCATATATATTGAGCGGTGGCCAAAAAAAAAGTAAACAAAATGAATAAGTGCATTTGTTATACGAATATTTGTTTTGATTTTTGTGTGCTAGTAATTTGAATGGTAAAATGAAATTAATAACAATATTTTCTTGAACGTAAAAAAGAACTTTTGATGAACTTGTTCCGGTTTTAAAGAACTCATAACTGCATAAAATTGCTTTGTTTAAGAAGAGTTGTGTACTAGTTTTTATTCTTAAATTGAGAAATCTAATTGTTGAAAAAATAAAAAAAAATTAATAGAAGATCCCAAGGAAATTCAGCAAAAATTCATAGATAATTTTTAAGTGTAAAATAAATATGTCTCTATTTTGATTTCATACAAATTTGAGTTGTGTAGTTATGAAATAAGGAGTGTTTTTATAGGCGTGTGGTTTCTAACGATGCAAAACTTTATTCGGAGCTGGTCTTTTTGACTTATACTCAGTTTCGTTTGGCCATTTCACAATGAACACATTTGTTCCAGAACAAAGTTTGCGCAGCAAAGTCGGCAATTCGAGTAACCACGGAGCGATTTCGCATCCCGTTTACTCTGGTGGATAATGCGCTTCCTCAAAGACGCCCTAAAATGCGCACCGAGGGCGCTATTGCTGATGTGAAGCTGAGCATCGAAGAAGTACCAAACGGGTCCACCTACCATCGCGCGTAACAATTGGACATGTGCTCAAGCTTATGTGTAAGGAGCTTGGTTTGCGGGCTTAAAAAATCGATCTCTTCAAAAATTGAAGCCAAACGATCATCAACCGACAAGAATGGGCGCTAAGAGAGGAGACCACGTATCCGGATTTTTCAAAAGAGATAATGGAATCATTGGTCCAAATGTCTTTAAAAATGATACCGGCTATGACGATACAGTCAATGGAGCACTATACATCCATGATTAATGACTTATTCGTACCTGAATTGGCGAATGTTGTTGTGGACGATCTTTGGTACCAACAAAATGCCGCTACATGCAGTACAGCCAACCAAACAAGTTGTCGGCTTGTGACGAGGCCTCTAAGATCGTACGAGTGAACGCCGTTGGACAATTTTTGTGGGGTTAAGTCAAGTCGCTTGCCTACACAGATAAGCCCGAGACGATTAACGCCATGGAAGAGAATATTCGGCGAGTTATTACGGACATTCGGTCATAATTGCTGCAAAACGTGATCGAAAATTGGACCGCTCGGCGGAAATTCATTCCTGGGAGCTGAGGCGGTTAATTGCCCGGAATGTTTTTTTTTTAATACAATGGTAGACCCATATCTTTATAATAAAGTTAAATTCTTGTCATAACATTAAAATATATTTATTTCATGTCTGTTTGAAAATCGCCCGCCAAAAAAAACTCCCTTTAATACACTGTTGAAAATGGTGTCGTTTTCGAAAGCATTCTTAGATTTGAAGTGGAAACAAATTTGTCACACTCAAAGTCAGAAATGATAAGATTATGCCTATCGCCAATTTGTTTGTCAATAAATGATACAATAAATCATTTTTGAAGATTTATTAAAGCTTCAGTAGAGAGTGATTTGTTATAAAAATAGTTGGGATATTAAGGTTATAACATTTGTAAGCTATTATACTTACGAAACAATTAAATTAATTGCATTCAGTTGTGGTTTTTTTTTTAATTTCAATCACCTGCGAGTCGCGGTCACCAGAACATTTTAATCACCAAAAATCATCAACAGTAATATGGGCAGATATGTTGTTTTCGATTGTGATGTCGGCAACGATGATGCCTGGGGTCTAATGATGCTCATCAAAGCTGAAGAGGCCTACAAAAGCCGCGCGGAGCTAAAGGATTCACCAAATAAATTTGAAATCATTGGCGTTACCTGCGTACAAGGCAACACTAATGTGGACCAAGCTGTGATAAATACGCTGAGAGTATTGAGGGCTGCCAATCGGAATGATGTGAGTACATCCGTTAATGTTTAGAATTTAATTAATAACCTTCATAACAAAAAAACTAAAACTAAAAGGTAAAGGTTAATTAAAGTTAAAACCTCTTAGTTACCTATTTATAAGGGCTGCAGCACGCCCATAATACAAAAATGTTGGGCAAATCCTGAGAATTTCCACGGTAAAGATGGTTTTGGCGATGTGCAGCATGAAAGTGAAGTCGATTTGGATTTAGTGCGTCCGGAGCATGCAGTGAATGCGATGTACAGTTTTGTTTGCAAGGTGAGTGTTAAGCGAAATTAAGGGTCATGTCACATGAAAAATTTTACTTTGCGGCATATTTTTCTAACGTTTGAGCATTCCAATTGAATTAAAAAAAATTACAGAAACTATTATTATTTCGAAAAAAAAATTTGGCAAGTAAGGAGGGCTAGGATCAGCTGAAACCGAGTTTATGATTCTCCGCTAATTCATTTACACTCAGTTACTAAATTATGGCGATTTTTGTATTTTTCAAAATTACCGTTACGTGGGAAGTGGGCGTGCATTTGGACCGATTTCGTACATGCTTTATACAGAAGTTTTCCGATTTCAATGATATTCAGTGACAATATTTATTTATAGATGCGTGTGTAGAAGCAAAATATCATACTCTTCGAAAATATGGGGACTGTATGAGCCTCCGATTATTGAAAAGCAGAGTTATATGACTTTCCTACAGGGTAGAACATTTGACCGATCCATTTGCAATACTTCACCCCAAAAATGCAAGCGTGGAAGAAGAAGGTTTATTACCTAAAAAAAGTGAGGCAAATTTTATGTAATTTTCCTGGTCTCGCTCTATGTGACTCATACAAGAAGAATGGTGAAGTGTTCAAATGAAAGAGGAGTTGTCGAGCCTGACTCTTACAAGCGGAACATAAAGAATCTTCCATGTGTAAGGATCTGAGAAGGAACTGCTATTACGGCAAATAGAGGCTAGCATTATCAAAGATTTTGAAACAGTGTAGTTCATATGGGTAGAGCAACTCAACTTTGTATCGAAATAGAAACACAATTCCTTGATTTCAGAAAACGACTGTAAGAAGCAAACCGAAAATTTGATAACGCGTAGAGAAAGAATCAAGCTTTCGGGTTAAGTGGAATGGGAACACTTTTTAAATATCAAAGTATGTCAATCCGGGCACACCAAGATTGTAGTTTTTCAAGTTTCACTTGAAGCGCAATGAAAGAAGGCTCCTCCTCTATGAGGCCGATCTTAGAAGGGAATACCTATGTTAATGGAAATGTTTCATCTCTGTCACCAATACTAAGTATGCTTCGGCGTCTATTTCCGGCCAGTAAGGAACGAAAAGTATGACAAGGTGATCTTGCCACGAGACAAAGCTCGACTCTAATTGGCTGTAACGGTGAAAAACTAGCTGGAAACGCTGAAATAGGAAGTGCTACCTCACCCTGCCTATTCTCCAACGACGGTCAATAGTTTGAATGATGATTTCTTTTTTTTACTTTTTTTCAGTAGAAAAATATTTTTTTGAACAAAAAACGGTCCGAATTGTTTTATACATACACGTGTATGTATATATATATTTTGTCAAGCAAGGCTAAGCTAAAGTTTTTCTTGCCACAGCTGAAGACATTAGTATGTGGAAAGTCATGTATTTGATTAATCTATTTATTTTAGCATCCAAAAATGGTGGACTTTATATTGGTGGGACCATTGACTAACTTCGCGATGTGCATAAATATGTATGGCTCAGAGTTTTTGAATAAAGTTGGGAAAATTTACATAATGGGTGGCAATTATAGAGGTGTGGAAATGCAACGCTATAACTTTCCGTGAAGAGTTTCACCAACTCCGAACATTTTTTGTTTTTCATTCAGGTAAAGGAAATATAACAAAAAGTGCCGAGTTCAACTTTATGATGGATCCAGAAGCTGCACATATTGTGCTCGCTAGTGTAGATGCACCACTAACGATACTGCCGTGGGAAACTTGCATCGATGGTGAATTCGATATAACACTCGTATGTTTGTTGTATATTTTCATTAAAAAAAAAAAACAATATTTTCATAATTATTTAATAATTAATATTAATTCACAGGATTGGCGCTTGAATGTGCTCGGCTCCATACAGAGCCCTTTCATCGAATTGCTCAATCTTGTCGAACGCGCTGTATTTATACCCAAGGGTATTGAACGTTGGTTAGTTTGTGATGCTGTCGTTGTAGCCGCTTATCTTTTTCCACACTTAACGGTAAAGGAGAGTCGCTTGTATCATGCCACCGTTGAGCTTGCCGGCACTCATACCCGTGGGCAAATGGTCATTGATCATTTGAAACAGGAGAAGGATAATGCGTTAATTATTATGGATGTTAATAGTGAGGAATATAAAAAAATCATTGCGTGGACGGCTGGGCTTGAAGGTGTGAATATGGTGGGTGAATTGGGAAGAATGGCCTGATGTTGTACACTTAATAAATATAGTGAAAAAATTCAAAATTTATTCTCCATCTAGTATCAAGACTAGTCTGTTGTTTATATTTTCAGAAAAAAATATACTCGCATGTACGAGTGTATGCTATTAGGCACTCATAAGTTTAACTACTAATTACGGGTTGATTCGACAGCCTCGGACCAGTAGGAGCGGGGTAAGATGCGTGGAGCTTAGTGTAGATGTATAGAAGGGTTAATTTCACGCGTGAAACGTAGGCATCGAATCTGGATAAGTAAGAGTGAAGTCTGCTACTGTATTTAGACCTCAATTATACCTGTGTTTTCCGGTTGCACGTTTGTTACGGGTAGTTTTTGGATTCCGATTACCCCGTTCGCGGTAGGAGAGATAATGATATATGTGATCGGTGCTGAATGGAGTCTGTAAAGTGAAGTTATCTGTTCTTCAATTGGAATACTTAAGCTCCTGGAATACTTGGCGCTATGTAACCGCTTCGCTGAGCTTCTGCTCGAATTTGTGTTGTGTGTCTCTATAGTTTATGACAAACCGCCTCCGAACGGCTGATGGTTTTTATGAGGATCAGTAAATATTCCCCGCCGAGGGAGAACCGCAATTAAAAAATTAACTCAATTTCAACAATGCGGGGTGCTTATAAGTCCCTATAACATTAGGTTATTAATTGTCGAAATTTTTACGTCATCGGTTTTGGCATCAAGGCAAAAGCTGTCGAACAAGTGAAAAGGGCGAAAAGGGTCGCCGTGCATTTCACTAGTTATGGTAGTAGACGCAGTTAAGAAGCACGAAAAGATTCAAGAGAACCAATATCGAGAAGTTATTGGTATATAAAATCAAGTAAACAAACACCTTCTGATAATGGAGTGCTTCGAAACGTGGAGACCCTTATCTAATTTTAGGGAGTTATGAAATTCTGCCAATGACTGCCGATCATCCGGGGAATTGATTGAGTGTGTCAAAAGTTTTCAATAAATCCAATGGATCAGAAGCAACAAGGTCTCAAGTTCGTCGTTACTGGGGAAAGTAGGGATATCTATCGGATTGATGCTATTTTACTGGCCCTGTGAATTGCTCACTCTCTAATAATAAATATATCAAAATAATCCGGAAAACATATCGGCTAAAAGACTTTTCTCAGCTTAAAAATCGCTTAACTTCGTGATGTAAAATTCTTTAACTCGATCAGGTGTAATTTACCAAAACATCAAAGGCTTCATTTTAGTCTATATTGTGACACCCCTCATTTAAAAGAAATTACAATAATATTTTGTTTTCGTTTATATTGTTTTTCCATAACGAAAACAGTTCCCATAGTGATTGACCCCAACAATGTAATGCTAACTATCTTGCAAAAATCTTGCAAAGCAACAAAAGTAAATGCAAAAAGCCTTTCATGTCGAATGAGAATACTGATAAGAAGATTATTTTAATAAAAATAAATAAAATTAAAAAAAATGTTTGCATTTGATTTAGGGATTATTACAATTAGCTGAGAACTAGAGTATTAGTAGTAAAATAATTGTAGAAGAAAGCGGACGTTTCTGAAACTGGAGACTAATTTTAAAATAAAACCAACTTTAAAACAATAAAGTCAACTATTAATTTTTCTTAAAACTAAATTCAACGCTGTCTCTGTTAAAATGGTTAGATATGTAGTATATGACTGCGACGTTGGCAACGACGATGCCTGGGGTCTGATGATGCTAATAAAAGCTGAAGAAACATATAAAAGACGTGCAGATTTAGTGAATTCCGCGTCGAAATTTGAAATTATCGGCGTTACATGCGTGCAGGGCAACACTACAGTAGATTGCGCTGTTGTAAATACACTGCGGGTGCTGGATATAGTCAATAGAAATGACGTAAGTAGAAGGGAAAAAATAAAGGAAAACTCAAGATGACACTGTTAACCGCCACTCACTTACATAGATACCAGTCTATAAAGGCTGCTGTAATCTTATTAAGCCACGTTCGTGGGAGAATCCCAAGTATTTTGTTGGTAAAGATGGTTTTGGTGATTTAGAGCATGAGAAGCAAGTTGATTTGAGTCTCGTGCAGCCACAGCATGCTGTTAATGCAATGTATGATTTTGTTTGTAAGGTATGTCCGATTTAAGCTCACGTGAAATCATAAAAGAAACTAAAGTAAATGTGTACTTTCATTTCATTTGATTTGTGTTTTTTTTTCTCAGCATCCTAGAATGGTTGACTTCATATTAGTAGGTCCGCTAACCAATTTTGCAATGTGCATTATCATGTATGGCGCAAAGTTTTTGGATAATGTAGGTGAAGTTTATATAATGGGCGGCAATTATCGTGGCAAAGGTAATACCACCAAAAGTGCGGAGTTCAATTTTATGATGGATCCAGAAGCTGCACATATCGTTTTGGATAATGTTAAAACGCCCGTAACCATATTACCCTGGGAAACTTGCGATGATCAGGCGTTTCGCATAACACTTGTAAGTATATACATTTTATTTTACATTATTTTGTCTTATTTTTTTAAATTTTTTAATGGTTTTATTATTCTTTTCATTTTTTGCTATTATTTATTTCTCTTTGCAAAATATTTTATTGTATTTTAATTTGTTTCATTGTACCCTCTTTTATTTTGTTTTATTTTAATTTTTTTTTAGTTTAACTTTTTATTTTATTTATATTCATTTGTCTAATTTATTTTAGTTTATTCTTAATTAATTCTATTTTTTTATGTTATGTTATTTTATTTTACTTTATTTTATTTCATTTTATTTTATTTTACTTGATTTTATTTTATTTTTTTTATTTTATTATATTTTATTTTATTTTATTTTATTTTATTTTATTTTATTTTTTTTTATTTTTTTTTTTATTTTTTTATATTATTTTATTTTACTTTTTTAATTTATTTTGCTTATTATTTATTTATTTCTTATGTTATTTTAATTTATTTTATTTAAGTTTCATATTATTTTATCTATCTTTATTAATATTATGTTTTATATAATTTTTTTAATTATTTTTTATTTTATTTTATATTATTTTATGGATATTTTATCTTTTATTTTAATTTTTTTTAATCATTTTTAATTTTTATTTTATTATTTTATTTTGTTATTTTCTTAAATTTTTTCCCTTTTAGTTATAATTTATAATTTTATTTCTCTTTTGCCGTTTCTATTTATTTTATTTCAATGTACTTTTGTGTAATATAAATTATTATTTTTTTAATACAATTTTTAATAGTTTTTTTATTTATGTTTATGTTGTGTTTATTTTATAATAATGTATTTTGGTTATTTTTATTTAAATTAAGTCAATTTATTTTTTTTCTTTAAATAAAATGTTTGCATACATTTATTTTCCAGGACTGGCGCCTAAACGTGCTTGGCGCTACTGACAGTCCTTTTGTCCAGTTGCTCAATCGCGTGGAAAGTGCTTTGTTGCTGCCGAGAGGTGTCAAGCGTTGGTTAGTTTGTGACGCATTGGCTGTTGCTGCTTACCTATTTCCACATTTGGTGGTGAAGGATAACCAGCTGCAGCACGCTGCCGTCGAATTGGCTGGCACGCATACACGTGGTCAAATGGTTATAGATCACTTGCATCGAGAGAAGAAGAATGCAAACATTATTACAGAAATCGATATTGAACACTATCACAAGATCATTGCTTGGACTGGTGGATTGAGAGGCGTACATGTGGAAAGTGAACTGGGGAAAGCTCAATAAATATGTTTAGTTTTGCGTTGAATTTGTTGTGGAAAAATATTAATTTTTGCCAAATAAAAACATTAATTACGATTTCGACTTCACGAAAGGTATTTGGAAAACTATTTCATGTAGTAGAGTAAACAGAAAATTAGGAACTGCACACTGAAAACCAAAATCAAGAATCAGGGTACATTAATTCGATACCAAGGAAGCAGGAAAACTAAGCTCAATGAGGTTCCGGAAAAGAGACATACAAACTGCCACGGTATTTTATAATAAAATACTCGTATGTATTTATATATGGAAAACAAAATTTTAATATGGAAATGTACCAATATAATATACCAATACATATAATATAACACGCTTTCCTAAAATTTTTTAGAAAAATATAGGGGATTCTCATAGGCAATAGATTATATTCCAAATTTACCAGTTTTTTGCCGCAAACTAAACAAAAGTGAAAATTATAATTGCTTTAATATTTACTTGGAACTACCTAAAAACATACATACAGACATATTTAAAATAAAAATTGTCTGATTATGTCATTTTGTTTATAAAAGCATAAATGTGATAGCAGGCAGTCAACAAAAGCTTTTAAACTTGAGCACATAGAATAAATATTATGAAATGTAGTAAGCTTTTAGGCGCACTTATAATTGTGAAGAGTAAAATGAAATTATTATATATATTGCATATATATATATATATATATATATATATATATGTAATTGGCGCTTTGTAAGCGCTGAAGCGACTTTCGGCCGAGCTCCTCCTCCAATTTATAGTTTTTCGTCTTGATTTTTTTCCAACAAATGGAGGAACCTACAGTTTATTCTAAGTCGCCTCCGAACGGTTGATAGTTTTTTATGAGGAGCTTTTGATTTTCATATCAGAAATACACTCGGAGGGTTGACATGCCCTGGCTGGGGGCGACCTCGACTAGTAAATGTAACTTATTTTTTTATCTAAATTAATTTTCTATAACTTTTTGAATGACAATTCGCAATGCTAACCAATCGACTACCGCGCCTGACCATCAAATTATTACTTCCAATTAATAAAATAAATATATTTACATGAATAAATATTAAGACAAATTTAGTTATTTTAAGTCTCTTTTAGTAAACGTAATGGTCTCTTTGTTGTATTTGTCTTTAACAATACTTTTGTCGATATTTTATTGAAAAATTACTGTTACAAACTTCATACTGAACACACTTACTACGGAACAACGTTTGCAAAACGTGACACGTCGCGCCACCCATCTGTCGAGGAACCATGATTCGGCTTCGTATCACGTTTACTCTAAATTCTAATGCAAATCCTTAGAGAGGCGCACCGTGAAGCCAACAAAACGGCGATGGATGCCGTACAACTAACGAAAAAATCAATTTATTGATGGAAACTTTTTTCTCGTGTCGTAGGCTTGTGGGTGACCGCTACGATTGATCATACAATATCGCCGTACTTTTTTTTGTAGGATTATGTGAAGTCGCTTATCTTCACAGATAAGCGGCTGGTTATTGCTGACATATAACGCCAATTGCTTAAAAAAATCGTGGTCGAAAATTGGGAACCTCGATAGGTATTTATACAGCTAGTGTGTTCGGGTGATCACTTAACCGAAATCATTTTTGAAAACAATGCAAACCGTAAAACATGGCTAGTTTTAAATTTAAAAACTAAAAAGATCCCTTAAAAATCTAATTTCGATAAGGAGAGAACCTCGTACAAATGTTTGTATGTATGTAAACATTATAGAGAACCGATTAACCCTAAAACAATATCATATACACTAATGGAGAACAGGTTAAGACAACGAAGCTTATTGGTTTACAAATACACGTAAGTTAGTTGTTGAAAAATGTGATGATATTAAAGTGATATTTTGAAATGAGCTCAACAGCTCAGCCCTTTTTGACACCTCAGAAGCATAGCCAACTATGTAAGTACATATTGGCCAAGCACAACAAATTTCATTGAGTTTTATGCGAACTTTATTGGAAGCAATACCTCACAGCGCAGAGAATGGAGATAACTCGAAAGTCAATACGAATATCAGCACCAAACGAGCCAAGGCAGCGCTTTTATTATACAAATAAGCTCAACCCTAAATTCAAAGGCCAGTCCCTACATACGAAAATTGTATGTGAAATAGAAATCAAATGTATTATCAGGATTGGATATAAAAACGATTCACGGCATTCATTTGACAGAGGTGTGAGTACTAGTAATAGTAATACTTGTATTTTCGTGAATAACAGTATTTTTTTGGTTTTGAAACAGAAAGTGAAAATCATACTGCATTTTATTAGTAGTTTTTGCAATATTACGTTAACCCTGAAATTGGATCCGTTTTTTGGAGAAAGCAAAAGTTATAAGAAACAGAAATCGAATAAAGATAAAATGAAGCGTCATTGTCACTTTAAATCGGAAGTTGTCTACGAATGCACTACGTCAATTACGGCGTCCATCAATCAAACAAGAATGTGAGTAATTCTTTGAAGACAAAAATAATAAATTTCAGTAATCAAATTATTGTCACACTAAGCAATGCATGCATGCAACTGATTTGCAATATTATTTAAATGTGGCTGCATATTTCATTCATTCATGCAATTTTTATATAACGAATTTGAAATTATCAACAAATTTATTTTGCAATCCCTTTTTAACTTTTCCTGCATTCTGGCGAAGGGGTGTGATTGGCGCGTGAGTAAGCTTTAGCAAAAATTATAAAACAGCTAAAATCTAAATGATAAGATACATTCAACACAGATAAGCTTATCTTCATTTTAAAAGAAACCACTTGCAGAATAGGGCTAAGCAATCAGAATAACATTTTATGACAGTTATGTACTCGCTGCACGTCGTTGCAACCCAGATACGAAAATGACGTCAAACAGTTTCTATATTCTCCTATTCTTGCTTTGGTTTATGAAGCACTCTTTTTATTTATTACTTTATCAATTTTTTATTTTATTTTGTTTATTTTCTTTTCTTTTATTTTACTTTATTTTGTTTTATTTAATTAACTTCTTTATATTTAATTTAATTTAATCGTATTTTTCGTTTCATGTCATTTTTTGATTTTATTTTAATTTATTTAATTAACATTATTATAGTACAATTTACGTCGTTTTGTTTTATTTTCATTTTATGTTCTTTTTTGTACAATTTTAATTAATCAACTTTATTATATTCAAAATCATTTATATAAAATTGTTTTAAGCAGTTTTATTTTCATGACATTTTGTTTTAATTTATTTTGTTTTTCTTATTTCTATTACTTTAGCTCTTTTTATTTGTTGTTTCTTTAATTTTGTTTTGTTTTATTTTATCTCATTTCATCTTATTGCATTTTTTAAATTAGTTTAAGTGATTTTAATTTAATGTACTAAATTAATTAATTAATTTTTTCTTATTTTGTAATAGTTTACAATATTGTTTTATATATTTTAATATTTTATTTTTTAGAATTTCAATTTCCTTTATTATTTGTTTTCATTTCATTTCATTTATTTTTTTTTTATTTTTTTGTTTATTTTCTTAATTTTATTTATTTATTTTTTTTCAGTTCACTACTACTAAACTAATGGACGGAAGTTTAATATGTTTTAACTTAGTATATTAAATTTATTTAATTAATTTACTTTTTATTTATTATGTAATGTCTTATATTATTTTGTTTTCTGTTTAAATATTTTGTTTTTTTTTATCATTAAAATTTTATTTTAATGTTTTATTTCTGTTTATTTCATTTCGCATTAATTTTTTAAATTCATTTTTTTTTTAATTGCATTTCATATTATATTTTATTGTTGAAATATTTATTTTTTTTTGTTAAAATTTTATTTTCATTTTTTATATCTGTTTATTTCATTTCATTTAATTTTTTTTGAATTCATTTTTATTTTTTAAATTCATTTAATATTTTATTTTGTTTACATTCATTTCATATTATATTTTTTTACCTTTGCTTATTTAATTTTCTTTTGTTTTATTTAGTTATCTTTATTCTATTTAAATTCATTTAATAACATTTTTTGTTATTTTACATTATCTTTAATTTTTTTTTATTTGAATTTAATTATATCTTTTATTTTTTTAATTTCTTTGATTTGGTTTTCTTTGGATTAAATATTTTAAATTATTTTTATTTATTTAAATATAATATATTGAGTGTATTTAATTAATTAATATAATTCTTCTTTTATTTTGTATTTATTTATATTATATTGTGTTCTTTATTAAAAAAAAAAACTCAATCCAAAACCGACAAAAGTCAAAAATTTGCTGAACGCGTCAAACTTCATTATCAGTGCCAGACGCAAATACAATATAGCCACACTAACTTCGCCTCCCAAATCCAGCAGCAACAACTACAGACTGCCAGAATTTAAAATATTCACTTATGACTATGTATACTCGTATATATGCAAACTTGTATGCACTATGCAATATATGTATGTATGTAAATACGTGTATAGGGCAGACTTTTACAAACATCACCACTATTGCTGGCGATAGTAAAAATCCCTTTGACGAATATATGCACCGGCACACATGTAAAAAAAAAAAAAAAAAACAACTCTATGTAAATGCAAACAACACCCAATGCCTGCACATATGTATGTGTGTATGTGTCAAAGCAAACACTGGCGTCTGCAATGCGGGATTCTACTCCATAATGGTGTGGGTTGAAAAATACAGGGTTATCACGGTTGGACATTGACCTCATTGAGGATTATGAGTGGTGCTAAAATCACTTTCACTCAATTTAACATTCTCTCAGATTAAATACTCAATTGTCCCTATGCGAAATGAGCTACTAGATACAAGTGGGCTTTTCTTAAAGTGAAATTTGCGTCTATAAAAGGCTATTCAATTCTGTTACAATGACAGGGGATCCTAATTTTAATGATTTTTTAATACTTAATAATTTCTTAAATTGCGAGCTCGGAAATGAGGAAATAGCTAACTCTAACAATCATCACAGAAATATCCATATGCTTCTTGAATTCAGTATTTGATTCTTAAGTTTTAAAAAATTACTTATTGAAAAGATTTCCAAGGTATTTGCGTATTTAAATTCTAACATGTTAGTGCTAGTAGTGTACGAGTATACTTATATGTAATTGGGGATGTTCAACCGCAGAAGAGATCTTCGAGCAAACTTCTACTCCAATTTGTTGTGTGCGTCTGAATGAATTTTCCCACAATTAGAAGGATCTACAATTTATTCTAACCCACCTTCGAACGGTTGATGGATTTTTATAAGGAGGTTTCACTTCATTCCAGAAACACACTCGAAGGTGTTGGCATTTCCTAGCCAAGCTTTGAACCCACAACTGTTTGCTTCTCGTCTACTGTGGCCGCTTAATTGTGAAAACTATGGCACGATTCTGAACAAGCAGTTTATGTATATATGATATCACTGTCTATTTTTTTTTTATCTGCAATATGTTAACAAAATACCAAATTGTATTTTCCGCCGCATATTGTGAGAAATTTGATATCACATATGTGGACAATTATTTGTATAGGAAATAAATAATATACGTAATACAAAATTATTTGTGCATAATACCTCAGAACTTGAGAGACTGGGTTGCCTTCAAACGGACAGACGAGAAGACAGATTGAGCAACTCAGCGCGTCGTTCTTATCCGATCGGAATAAACTTGACTGGATCTGTCTATTCTCTCTCTTATGCTTTTAATTTCGAGCCGAAAATTATAAATTAAGTATACATAAGTTTTTACTTTTTAAACATTTATAAACAATTAACAATTATGCACCTAAGTTCAGTAAATAAATTATGTTATGGATATTAACTCATTTTTATTCAATTTTCTACTGCGAAGGCAAAATAGTTTAAAATAGCATGAAAACCACATTCTTGAGGAAAATATTCGTGTAATCCAAAACTTTGATGAAATTTATCCCAAAATTAGATTGAACACAAAACGCTTATCATCTTTAATAATCACATATATTATAGATTCGATTTTCATAGCCATATAAGGTTTGGAAGAGTTCCAAAATCAAAATATCTATTTTATCACCAAAACCATCTTTTGGGTGTTACTAACAACAATTACGTAAACGGCATATTTCTATTGTATTCGAAAATGAAGTGACTCAATTGCGCCAAACCTTTCCGATTGGGTTTGTATGCATGTGCAAGTTATAATTACTGTATGTATGTATACGTGTATGTAGTTTCCTTAGTATGTGTCTGAGTATCTCAATGCATATCCGCTGTATGTTTGTATACAAAATGTATGTATGTATGCGATTATAAGTTATATATTTGCGTCAGCTGGTGAATAGTAAAATCTGCCGTTGTCCTTATACACTCATCTTTTATTGTGATTAGTGATGACATAACGTAACCGCACCTGAGAATGGAACGGATCGGTTGCTTATGATAGAATTACAGATTTCCTATTCTTTCGCCAATCTAGTATTACGTCATTTCGATAATAAGAAGATAAGAAATATATATTATATTTTTATTTTACACATTTTTTATCAACAACGAAAAGTACAACTGATGGGAATTTGCAAATTAAATTAAACTAATTTACCTAAAAAGAAATTAAATGAAATTAAAAAAAAACTGTAAAAAATAAAATAAAATTAAATTAACGTAAATTAAATTAAATAAAAGAAAAAATTAAATTATATAAACTAATATTAACTTAATTTAGATAAATTTAAATAAAAATAAAATTATTTAAATTAAACTATTATTAATAAAAAGAATAAAAATAAAATAAAATATATTAAAATAAAATAAAATAAAATAAGGAAATAAAATAAATTATAGTCAAAATTGAAATGAACTAATTTAATAAAAAAATTTAATTGAAAATAAAAGCCATCTTTTTCCCTGAACAAGAAGTCCTCTACCAAACTCTATGATAAAGGCGGCCCAGTATGAGCAATGAAAACAAATTTATGTCCAAAAAACAATTATTCAAGCCATAATTTTTTATGCTTTCCCAGCATGGGACACTGTTGCCAAATCACATTTAAAAAACCTACAAATATGCCAAAATAAAATTTTAAAAATGATGCTCGGCCTTCCATGGGAGTATTCTACATCAAGACTTCATAGTAAGTCGGTTAAAATTTCATTGAATTTAAAAAATTAAGTAAATCAAGATAAAAAAATAAAAATAACAAAATACAAAAAAACAAATAAATAAAATAAATAATTAAAAATAAGCAAAATAAAATGAAGTTACATGAAATTATATTAAATTATAAAACTTAATAATCATTATAAATAGAAAAACAAATTTCCATAATTTATATGATCAGTATATCATATACATACATACATATATAAACAAACATCATATTCTTAGTAAGGAAGATAAATGTAATTTTAAAAGGAATAATTTTTATCTGCAAATTAAGTTTATATGTAAAGTAGCAAGCATTCGGTTAACCCGTAAGCGATGAAAGCCATTTCGTGGCATTGCCCAAACCGGACCACCAACACGTGCAAAGTTAAGATGTTCTTGCCGCTTGTTATTGTTGTTGTTGCCGATTTGTTGTTACTTTTACTGCCTTTGTTGTCAGCTGCAGTTTTTCTTCTTTCATTTCATGCTTACGCTGTTGGTGTTGTTGCAGTTGTTTGTGCTCATTGTTGTTTCACTGCATTTTTTGCTTTAATTTTCCATTTGTTGGTGTGTGCCGCCACACCAAATGTTCATTTTGAGTCACTTGCTACGCACACATATATCGATTAACTTGCTTGCCTGTACATGTGTGTGTATATGGATGTATGTATGTATGTGCTGACTGGTCGCACAGAGTGCCGGCATTTGCTATCGCTTGATACTCCACTGCAGCAGCGTTCTACAGCGCTCTTTGCCAGGCGCTCCAATCAACTCCAACTCAAATATCCGTCACGACACTTCTCCCACCGCCCCGCAAACATGCAGCAGAGTATATGGGTATTTCTCTTGTGTGTGTGTGTGTGTGTGTGTGTGTGTGTATGTGTCGGTGTGTTTGTGCCTGTGTGGTTTCGTTGCTGATATGGTGAATGTTGCTGCTTTGACTGCTGCTACTACTGATGTCACTGTTGTTGTTATCGCTGATATTCTTATTGCTGTTGTTATAGCTGTTGTTGTGTCTGATTCAGCTCTGTGCTTGCTCACGCTGCGCGGAGGTGCAGCTCTCTGCCAAAAACGACCAACCCGCCGCAAAGCAATAGTTTAAGTTGCTCCAACTTCACTCGTTCGAGTCGTATTCGAGAGCAACAACCCGCTGGATTCGGACGCATTTTCTGTGCTATCGCCATCTCGTCGCAGTCGTTTTGTTTTTTGCCGCTATTCATAATACTAAATTACATTTTTGTGTATATAAAATTGTTTTTGTTTTTTATTTTCTTACGTTAAATATCGCGAAATCGGTAAAGTTACGGACAACAATATTGCGTACACGTTCATACATACATAAATAATAATATTCTTGGTAAATTTCTGTATAAATATTTTGTATTTGTTAAACCGTTTACCGTTCAACAAAATTCGTTATTTAAATTAATTAGTGTGTGCGTGTATAGTGCTAAACTCACAAACATACATATACACGCGTAAATAATTGCCAAAAAATAAACACCTTAAAAGCGTGACAACAGGAAATAAGGTGAAGAATTTTTTTAATTGTTCAAAAGAAGTTTTCTATTCCAGAAAAGTGGCAAATTGTTGTATTAGATTCTAAATTATTATTTTTTTTTTCTTAATTATCGTATCTGAGTGTGTTATCTGCAAAAGCTGGTATAACAGTGAATATGTTTGCCTTTATTTTTTCTAATTACTTTAAAACAACTGAGAAAAAATTTTACATTATTTTAATAAAAAAATTCATTATTTTAAAATTTAAATTCCATTTGAAATATTTTTTTATAATAAAATAACAGAAAAAGAGTAAGAAATCATTAAAAAAATTAAATAATTTTATTTTAAATTATATAAATATAAAATTGGAAAAAAATCAAATAAACAAAATTATAACAAAAAAACTTTTAATTTTAGCTAACGAAATAATTTAAATGCTTTAATTATAAATAACTTCAAAAATTAATAAATTATATAAAAAATAAATTAATACAAACAAAATTTTTGCAATAATAATAAAAATGATTTTTATATACATACTAAATATTTATTAATATAAAGTTAAGAAGGCATAAAAAATATTTAAGTTCTAAAATTAATTCAAATTCAAAAAATTAAATATTAGAGAAAATATGTAAAAATATATATGTATAAAGAAAACCTTAAGAAAATTCCTAATTTTACACGCGTTTTTGTGTAATTTAAAATTTTATTCGGTGTCCTAAGATATCCTGATTACATACACAAATACATGTGCAACTGAAGCCCAACCCAAGAGCGCTGTGGCGTTGTGCATTCTCTATAGCAGTGCTTGTGCTCATACATACTTAGCATATATTTATATATGTATATGTATGCATGTATATAAGTGCATATAATTTATATTTTTGATGTTCATACATAAGTACGTTCAATATGTATGTACATATATGTAAGCACACATACAACGTCCAGTTATGTATGTATATAATCAAGAATATATATGTATGTATAAAAGATATATATGTACATACAATGTTACTTATTTGCAAAAATTCATATCAGCAAAAGCAGATACGCGAAACAAGTTTTGCCATCACTCGTGCTTTATTCCATGGGATATATGTACATATGTACAGCCTTGTGGTGTTATTCCTTATTTTAAAATGCTGCTTTTATAAATATACCATTTACACGGACAATGGTTCTAAAATACTTCTCAATTGATTAAGTCCATTACATATATACGTGTATAATCATTACTGAAATCCCAGGGAAAATCTTGTTCTGTGATATGGTGAAAAAAAAAATCATTTGAGAGTCGTGACATTTTCGATGGGTATACAGTAAAAATCAGAGAACGAAACGATTCCATTTCATTTTGTTAATATGAAAAATAAACTCGACGAAATGATTTCGTTTTGTTAATATGAAAATGTTATCGAAATGAAATGAAATTTTTAATGTTGAAACCACACAAACTCATTGTTAACATTAATTCTAAAATGGCTGTTTACTGACATTAAACATTTAACATTCTCTGTTAACGATTTAACATAAACGATACTACTTCGTTCCGGGTAAAACCGATATCAAATTTATTTTGATAAACAAATTTATTTTGATAACTGCTTTAACAAATAATACTCCTAAATGTGTCAACTGAAATTTATGAAATTTTTTGATAATCGTGAAACTTATAGTCACAATGAAGCCTTGGTAAAAATTAAGCTCTTGAAAGAAACGTAAAATCTTTTTACATAAAAATAATTATAGAAAAAACAATAACGTGGTTGGGATAAATATTCTATCCAGCCTTGCTCTCTGCCTTTGTCGTGTTTGTACTCTTTAGAAAAAATCTACAATAATTACGCCGTTACAGATTCTTACATTTAATGTTGAAAATGGTATAAACTGTTTGACACAGAGTGAAATTGATTTTTTTTCGCGTTTTGATTTTGCAACATAATTTTTTCCATTCGATTTACCTTACAGCATTGAAGTTCAGAATTTTTATTTTGTCGTAACTTATATTTAAATCCACAATTGTTATACTTTAATATATATCTACATACATACATACTTTTTTGCTTTCATTATTATATCTTCTTAATATTTTTGTATTTTTTTATATTTATTTCACACTTTTCCATTTCAATTGGTCTTGTTTTGTTGGTATTTTTAGTGTTCGCCGTCGATCTCCATATAGTATTCGCTCGAACAGACTCACTTGGCCGCATCCAGTGAATAAAGCAATCGAGTATCAAGAACAACATCTAAAACTACAAAGGCATTCAGCTATTGTAGACACAACTAAACTACCTGAAACAGTCAACGACAACACCAACAACAACGAAGAGAAAATGGCTGAAGTTGAAGTAGAGCAAATTGTAGAAGTCACCGATGAAGTTTCTAAGGATGAAGAGGTGGACGAAGTAGAGGACCAACCAAGAAGGGTAAGTTTAGACAGCAGTGCTGCTGACTTTGAACTTGAAGTGGTGGATGAAGTAGATGGGAAAGAAGAGACTGAAGAGGAAGAGGAAGAGGAAGAAGAAGAAGAAGAAGAAGAAGAAGAAGAAGAAGAAGAAGAAGAAGAAGAAGAAGAAGATGATGATGATGAAGAAGAAGAAGTAGAGGAAGTCGAAGAAGAAGTAGAGGAAGTCGAAGAAGAAGAGGAAGAAGAAGAAGAGGAAGAAGAAGAAGAGGAAGAAGAGGCTGAAGAAGGGGAAGAAGAAGGGGAAGAAGAAGAGGAAGATGAAGAAGCTGTAGAAGAAGAGGAAAGTGAGGAGCCAATTGAAAGGGCGTTTTATAGTGCAGAATTACTGGAAGATAACGAAGAAGAAGGGGAAGAAGAAGAAGAAGGTCAAGCTGAAGATGAAGAAGTAGAAGTAGAATCAGTTGAAGAAGATGAAGGTGAAGAAGAAGAAGGAGGGGAAGTTGAGGAAGAGCAGGAAGAAGAGGAATATGCTGAGGAAGAAGCAGAAGCTGAAGAAGCAGCTGAGGAAGAACTAGAAGAAGAAGCCGAAGAAGATGCTGCTGAAGTAGAAGAACCAGCTGATGAAGAAGAAGAAGAACCAGCTGATGAAGAAGAAGAAGAACCAGCTGAAGCAGAAGGAGAACCAGCTGAAGCAGAAGAAGCCGATGAAGAAGAACCGGAAGAAGAGGCTGAAGAAGAAGAACCAACTGAAGATGAAGAGGAAGTTGAAGAAGAAGAGTCAGCTGAAGAAGAAGATGCTGCTGAAGTGGAAGCATCAGCTGATGAAGGAGAAGAAGCTGATGAAGAAGAACCCGACGAAGAAGAAGAAGAGGCTGAAGAAGAAGAACCAGCTGAAGATGTCGAGGAAATTGAAGAAGAAGAGTCAGCTGAAGAAGAAGATTCTGCTGAAGTGGAAGAATCAGCTGATGAGGAAGAAGAAGAACCAGCTGATGAAGAAGATGATGAAGAAGCCGATGAAGAAGAATCAGCTGAGGAAGTAGAAGAAGCAGAGGAAGAAGATGAAGTAGAAGAACCAGCTGATGAAGAAGAAGAAGCTGAGGAAGAAGAGGATGAAGCAGAAGAACCCGCAGAAGAAGAAGAAGATTCTGAGGAAGCAGAAGCTGAAGAAGAACAAGCTGATGAAGAAGAACCAGCTGATGAAGATGATGAAGAAGAAGCCGATGAAGAAGAAGAAGGCGATGAAGAAGAACCAGCTGATGAAGAAGAAGAAGCGGATGAAGAAGAACCAGCTGATGAAGAAGAAGAAGCGGATGAAGAAGAACCAGCTGATGAAGAAGAAGCAGCTGATGAAGAAGAAGCAGCTGATGAAGAAGATGAAGGCGAAGAAGAAGAAGAAGAACCAGCTGATGAAGAAGAAGAGGTTGAAGAAGAACCAGCTGATGAAGAAGAAGAGTCCGCTGAGGAAGAAGAAGCAGCTGAGGAAGAAGAACCAATTGATGAAGATGGTGAAGAAGAAGAACCAGCTGATGAGGAAGGTGAAGAAGAAGAAGCTGATGAACAAGAAACAGCTGAAGAAGAAGAACTAGCTGATGAAGAAGATGAAGGCGAAGCAGAAGAAGAAGAAGAAGAAGAACCAGCTGATGAAGAAGAAGCAGCTGAGGAAGAAGAGGTTGAAGAAGAACCAGCTGATGAAGAAGAAGAGTCCGCTGAAGAAGAAGAAGCAGCTGAGGAAGAAGTGGTTGAGGAAGAACCAGCTGATGAAGAAGAAGAGTCCGCTGAAGAAGAAGAACCAATTGATGAAGATGGTGAAGAAGAAGAACCAGCTGATGAAGAAGGTGAAGAAGAAGAAGCTGATGAAGGAGAAACAGCTGCAGAAGAAGAGCCCGCTGAAGAAGAAGAACTAGCTGATGAAGAAGAAGAAGCCGATGAAGAAGAAACAGCTGAGGATGTAGAGGAAGTCGAGGAAGAAGAACCAGCTGATGAAGAAGAAGCAGCTGAGGAAGAAGAGGTTGAGGTAGAAGAACCAGCAGAAGAAGAGGCTGATGAAGAAGAAGCAGCTGAGGAAGAAGAGGTAGAGGTAGAAGAACCAGCAGAAGAAGAGGCTGAAGAAGAAGAAGAGGATGAAGAAGAAGAACCAACTGATGAAGAAGATGATGAAGAAGAAGCAGATGAAGTAGAGGAAGTCGAGGAAGAAGAGCCAGCTGATGAAGAAGAAGCAGCTGAGGAAGAAGAGGTTGAGGTAGACGAACCAGCAGAAGAAGAAGAAGAGGCTGAAGAAGAAGAGCCAGCTGATGAAGAAGAAGCAGATGAAGTAGAAGAAGTTGAGGAAGAAGAACCAGCTGATGAAGAAGAAGCGGCTGAGGAAGAAGAGGCTGAAGAAGAAGAACCAGCTGATGAAGAAGAAGAAGCGGATGAAGAAGAAGCAGCTGAAGAAGTAGAAGAAGTCGAGGAAGGAGAACCAGCCGCCGAAGAACCAGCTGATGAAGAAGAAGCAGCTGAGGTAGAAGAGGTTGAAGTAGCCGAACCAGCAGAAGAAGAAGAAGAGGCTGAAGAAGAAGAAGAGGCTGAAGAAGAAGAACCAGCTGATGAAGAAGATGAAGAAGAAAAAGCAGATGAAGAAGAAGCAGCTGAAGAAGTAGAGGAAGTCGAGGAAGAAGAACCAGTTGATGAAGAAGGAGCAGCTGAGGAAGAAGAAGTTGAAGTAGAAGAACCAGTAGAAGAGCCAGCTGAAGAAGTGGAAGAAGAAGAGGCGGCTGAAGATGAAGAAGAACCAGCTGAGGCAGTTGAAGAAGAAGAACCAGCTGAAGTAGAAGGAAGGGCTTTGGAGGTAGAACCAGCCGATGAAGAAGAAAGAGCTGAAGATGAAGCAGCTGAAGAAGAAGAACAAAATGAAGAAGAAGAACCAGCTAAGGATATAGAAGGCGATGAAGTTATTAGGGAGGAAGAAGCTCAAAGTGATATAACTGAAGAGCAAATTCAAGCAGTTCAAGCATTGGATGCGGTCTTAGATGAGGTAGAACTAGAAGATGATGAAGAAAAAATTGAACCCGAAGTGGAAGGAAATGAAGAAATAGAGCCTTTAAATCAATTAGAAAAGACAGAAGATAAGAATGAGTTGACACAACCAATACTCAAGGTGGTTGAAGAAGAATTAGAAAGCCAGGAAGGTGAGGTAGAAACTTTGAAAAAAGTGAGCGATTGGAAGAAAGCAAGATATGAAAACTGTCCGATAAGGGTAAGTGAATACATCAGAAAAGTAGAAGAACAAGAAGACGATGATGATGAAGAGGATAATGTGAAGAAGTTCGAGTGTCGGCCACGAAGGGTAAGTCAAGTTTTAGTTGAAAGAAAAAATACCTTCACATGCACACATATATACACACTGAAAGATTTACGAGTAAGCACAGCACAAGTACATACACGTATATTCACGACTATAACTTTATTGTATGTTTGTAGGTAAAACGCTTTCAGTATGTATGATAACAGAGAAATGCATATTCATATTCAAATACACAGACAAATGTACATGTACATACACTTATTTATATAATAGAATGCAAAATGTCACATTGTGTGGACAATTCCGATATTACTCGTACATACAAAAGTGCTCACCTTAAGAACAACAACACTTCTGACATTCACGACATTCACGAGTGCTCGCTCGTCGCACACTTAAATGGTTAGAACTCACATCTTTCTCGCTGCTTGGGATGCAGATTTATTAACACTTACATTTGCCACGCTGCATTATCTGCATCTAGCAACCTTACGGAGACTTACGCTGAGTTGGGGTTGGGAAAGTTTTTCACTTTAAAAGACTTTAAGAAAAGCCATAGGAAAAAACGCAGGAAAAAGTGAAATATAAATAATCGAAAGACACAAGCAAAATGTAATAACTTTCATCTACATTAAATTATAAATATTTGAACTTTGATCTGATGTATGTACGAGCATGTAACAGAAGAATAAGAAGATAAACCCTTAACTATTTATACCGTTCGGATTAGAATGACCAGCTAAGTTGATAAGTCCGTCTGTTTGTACGCGAAGTAGTATCTCAGTTTCTGCGATCTCTACATTTTTCATAAAGCCCCTCCTACAACTGATTGGTTCATATATGAAATTTTTGGTAAAAATTAGCATCCCAGAGCATGAAGTTTTACATTCACCACACGTATATACAAATAAATAAAGTCAGATAAAATCCTCAAAAACGAATTTCATAAGTTCATGAAAGACAAGAAGACATCGCCATGGCCGCAGGGGGGTTCCTCTTTCTCTGTTTTAACTACACCCAACTTCATTTATTTTTTTACAAATGCCAAATGTCTTCCCTATAAGTTCATTAGAATTTATGTTTCTCGAGTTCAATTCTTGTCACATTGATGATCGCTGGAAAGTGGATTCTATTGGTAGCTGCATATTCGATATGCTTAATTGAAGAGCGTAAACAAATGTTATATAAGTGGCGTGCGTTTGTTATTCTTAAGTAAATATATACGCATTTGTGTAAATACTTGCAACTGATATTCGTCGCTCTCCCCTACTTTATGGGACATTGCACTGTGCTACATTTCTTAATTGATTATCAAGCGACGCTGATTGCAGAATAAGAACAGCTTTATGTGAATCATATTTGTAAACAAAATACCATTAGTATATTTTCTTACACATATACATACATATGTATTTATCACACTATATTAAGCTACAATATTGGGGATTTTTATTAGATTTTTTATTTTTTCTTTAAATTTTTATAAAAATAAGTATCAATTCAAGTGCCTTTATATAAGTTTTTTACCGCACTTTCCTTGCAATTATTGCTGTCAGTTTTAGCGTTTATTTTCTCGAGTTATCGAGCTCAAGGTAATACAATTCTTATCGAATTTTATTTGAAGTGATTCAAGCGGCGGATGTGCATACATAAAATGTAATAACTCTGTTTGGTATAATTCTCAAAAATATAAATAAGTTTACTTTAAGCGCACACACAATGATATGTATATAAGG